TTTTAAATTTATTTTTTTTTTACAGATACATCACATTTATAAAGGATTGCATCTTTAACTTGTTTTGCTAGATCTGTTCTCACATGTACATGACCAAATTTCTCTACTGTTCAGTAGGGAAAATGAAGCAGTGGATATAATTGCATAATGACAGATATGAGAGGAACAGAGAATCCCAGCAATCATTTCCTGTGAGTTGGCCAGCTTCCAGGATGTCTCAATGGGCCCGCTGATGTAAAGGCAAAATGAAAATAGTTCATTCTGAAGGGTAGTTGTTGGTTGGGGGTTTTTTTTCCATCTCTCATTTGACTTTGCAGACTAAGGTATTGGAACAATTAGTTGGCAGTGTGGTGTTAGTTTTCTCACGGTAAATTAAGAAGATTAACCAAATGTGGAAATGTATTTTAGCTATAATCAGCAGATTTGAAACTGTAATACTTCAGCATCCTCTGAGGTTATGTTAATATTATTCACATTATTCCACTCTATAATGTGCAAGCTTTTCCAGAGTTGCCTTATGTCAGTGTTTATTCAAAGACAGCAGAATTATTAGATTTATTTTTGTTAGTTTTGTAACACAGAAATGTAGAGGATCAGCATGTTAGCTGTTGCATCACTCCACTTGGCATGTAGTGTTCGCATGGATAACAGAACTATTATAGCAGCCTTAATCTCTTTTTTCATTATTATTATTATTGTTATTAATTTTCCTACAGTAAATTGAGTAGTGAAGCATATTTTACATAATTATGGCAGAAGTACACAACTTGACGGGTGGTAGTGAAGGGGCAAAGTAATATAAATATTTGCAGAACATTTCTGCCATAAGTTAATGCTTTGCACATGAATCTTTATAAGGATCCTAAGTTAGTTTAAAGGAATGATTCCAGAGGACTACATAGGTCCAGGCTATGATGACTGCAGAGCATCTCTGGGAGTTTTTGGCTTGTCATACAAAAACAGAAAAGAGAAGGAGGAAAACTTAGCAGGAAGAAGTTAACAAATGCTTTGGGAACGGAGGAGGGGGAAGACATAAGCTTTCCATGTACAAATCTTCAGCTAGACTCACCTAGTCATTCATTTTTGATTGCTGTTTATCTTTGGCTTCCTTCATTTCACTGGAGACATTTGCTTAGCAAATGATTGCAGCAGCTTTAAGTTGCTGCTGCAAGCACGTATCTGCTGCTGCTTTAAACCCCAAAGCAGAGCTGATGGAAGGGGATGGAGAAACAAGTCTCAGTTACTCCATGCAACATCTGTTGGTTTAATTGAGCTGCTGCAGGAGATTCAAGCTAAGCTACCAGCTGTGGCACAGAAAGGTCTGAGACACACAAACACATGGATCCGTGCAAGCCAGCTGTGTGAAAGAGCAAAAAAGGACAGCATGGGCAGTAACTTCTTAAGCTACTATCAGTAGATTTTCAGGTTACACATGTTGACACTCCCATTTTCCCTGAAAGTATTATTTCTTAACAATACCAAGTGCATTTTGCTTTCCAGGGATTGATCCAAAAGTCCAGAGGTACATCTCAGCCTGTCTGACTGAAATATAAATCTTCAGTAAAAACGTGTTATCACTTGTAGTTCCTCCTGAAGATTTCAAACTGGATACACTGAAGTTGCAAGGTCAACACGTTTAGAAGCAAAACACAGCTAGCTGCATAAGCTTTATATGTAAGCCACAGGATATTTTGCTCCTTACTTGCCAATTCAGCCTATTTTAAAAGAGAATCCCACAATTTTAATTTTCTGCTTTGGACTTGACTGCTAAACTGATTCTGTCATAATAAAATACATCTGCATAAATAACAGTGTTTCTACAGGGACTTTCAGTATTTGTTTCTGATATCACTTTGCCAGAAATTAGGGGGAGAAATCTAGTACTGTATTTCCTATGAAAATTTCACAAAAGTGTCAAATACATTTGTGAAAGTTTGAAATTATGAGCCTGCAAACATTTATTTTTTTTTCCTGGTTGGCCATTTAGCTGCAAGTCAGCTCCCATCACAAAAGCATTTCTGAGAAGTACTTGAGGATTTTAGAGTCTATGTGTATATATACCATTGTGAAAATGTTCTGGTTGGAAGGGCATGCTTTTTGGGGGGGGGCAGTGTTTTACCATTTCCCTGATTTTTAAGTTGCTAGCTCTGTGTCCTTGCTTATATCTAATCAGAGGACTGAGCAGTGTCTCAGGTAGCTCACAAACAGAATGTTTCACACAAACCAAGCAAGTGAAAACAAATACAAGGGGTTCTGATGGAAGGACGGGCCACATCAATTAATGATAGGCAGGTAACTGTCTCCTTTGAAGAATTACTCCTAAATAACTTCCCTGCTAAAACAGCAATTGCTAAATGAGTGTTTTTCCTTACCATGTTCCAGGGTTGAAAAATGCAGCCATCACTCATTAGCCCAAAGTCCAGGTCAGCTAGACAGCGTGAAAAAATACCTGGCGTTCAAAGCTCACATTTAGCCTCAAAGCCGTGCCCTGCCACTCAAAAGGAACAAAACAGTCCTGCACTGTTTGTGACCTCCCTTTAGCTGTAACATAGTGTCAATCACATTGGGCTTTAATCCTTTCCAAATTATAACATGTATCTCTTGTGCTTTGTTCCCCTCCTGATTTTCTTTCTTCTTTTATTCCTGACAAAAGAGGACACTATCTCTCTCTTATTATATTCAGTTTTTTATCCAAAATTTGTGGTGCTTGTGACATTTTCTTCATTTTTCTTGCTTTCTTGGCACTGTTTCTGTGCCTTTGCCCTACCAGTTTTTAGTCTCGGATTTCTTTTCTGGGCTTTTCTCTCAAAAATATTTCTTTCTTTTGATGTCACAATTTCTATTTCTAATGTACCACTGCAGTTCTCACTTTCTACCTACCAAGCAAGTGGTTAGACAGAAGCGGAGAATGTCTGTCATGATCCAAGGCTTGTGATGGTCCAAAGATTTTGCAGTGTGAATTAAAGTTCCAAGTCCCCAGATTCTCTCTAACTGTGGTATCTAAGATGTAGTGCTCTCAGTCTTCCTGCCTCTATCTTTTCCCTGAGAGAGTTGAATTTTGAAATTTTTTTGAGTTATTCCTTCTTCCATCTGCTCCTTTGAGAAGATGAGCTTCTACTCATTCCTTTAGTTTTGTGGTTACTAAAAAAATCGTTTCTTTTTCACAGATTTCTATTTTGAGTCCTCTTCTCCAGCAGCTTGTTACAGTTGTCATTCATAGTTTCTAAACTGGGGAAAGAGAAATCACTGAGCAGTAGAAGAGTAACTGAAGTGGGAAACTGATGAATTCAGGAGGGCGTTGCTTCTTTAGCTTACACTCAGCTCATATTTGAATTGTTAATGTGGTATACATTTGGATGGGTATTTATTCCAGGTTTTAAACAGAAAAATAGTAAAATTATGTGAATTTGATAACTTGCTGAATGAGCTTCTGACTCTTTTTCCAGCCAAGTTGATTTTTAAAGCCTGGCAACATATGCTCACACTTGCAGTTTCAGCTGTGTCTGTACCTCCAATGCATTTTGTCTGCCTGAGGAGGAAATTCACTCTATGATGGTTAAATATGAGAAAATGTAGTATTGTCTCTCCTGTGCTGGTTGTCACTCCTACCTCTCTAGCACAAGCTACCTATGCACAAGATACAGAAGAGTATGCATTACAGTAAGAATATGTTGTACAAGTGCAAAAGACCACACCTTGTTCTTCAGAACATTTCAAGTTTCTGGGGTAGTTTTCGTAAACCAATGTTTTTAAAAATCTAGAATCCACAGCCACCATGTGAGGCCACATAGGCTTCTTCAGCTTTTTTCTTATCTGAGGTTGTTGACCTCAGGAGAGGAGGAGAAGGTTACAGGGTCAAAGTCTTTTCCTCCTTGGAGCTTGCTGCTTGCTGGGAGAGGGTTGGCTGGAAAATAGATGTTTTAGAAAAAGGGGTTGAGGGTCATGATTTTAATTCTGTTAGGGAACAGCTGGTTTGAGTTTCTTTCCACTTCTATCTTCCCTCCCTTCCTCACAAATCCATGGAGAGAGAAAAATTTGTTCAGAGAAAGCAACACAAAAAAAAAAAAAAAAAAAAGACTTGCAGCATTTTCATCTTTAAAATAGATCATATTTATTGTAGGACTTCACATTAGGGGAGAAAAGAGGAAATTATTAAAATAATTTAAATCCATTATTGTTACAAGCATTGAATTGATATTGATCTAGAGTGTCAGAGGTTTATTTGTTTTCCTGCCAACAGTTAAAATGTTAATAGTAGTGTTTTAGTGGGGCTTTTTGTGGATAAACAATATGCATTGCAATTTTTAATTTAGTGATGGACAAAGCTAATTTTTAATGTATTGCATTAGTTTGCAGGCAAGCTGCTGAAGAAAGATGGTTTGATTTGGTTATTTCTGTTCAGATTTTCTTCATCTTGGCATGCTGCTTTCATGCACTAAGACCAAAGAGAGAGAATGAAACTCACAACTCTCAAATGAATGGCAAACTAGGAACAGATTTTTCATCTGCACTCCTCTGAAACACTGGCCTCAGGCTGTGTTGGTGTGTGGCTCAACAGCAATCAGAGGTCATAATTTCATTGGCGGTTAGCATCAGGTTTAATTTTTCTAATATGTTACATTTACCAAAATGTCTGGTTTCAGTTACACTTATGCACTGACTGAATCAGCTTTGAGCAGCATGATGTTTTAAGGTACCTGAAAGGCTACAGGAACGTTTATGGAACACATATGCTAATTGTTTTTAACCACTTTCCTTTCTAAACACAAAAACGTGTTTTTGGAAAGCCATTTAACAGTAGTAGCTAATGACGCTGTGCATTTATTCTAAGAAATGAGTGCAAGGAATAGGTAAAATAGTTGTTTTCACAAGACTGCCATCTACTGATTTCCACAATTAAAAATATCCCTGATGACTAGATTGTTCATAGATTTTTTTTATAGCTTTGTTTTCAAGATTCACAAAATCAAGAAAATTATAAAATCTTTCTGTCACCTTAGGAATGCGACCAGGTTCACATTGATGACGTGTCTTCAGATGACAACGGTCAAGATTTAAGGTACAAGAGAACTCATTAAGATAAAAAGTTGCTTTGCAAATTCCTTCCTGGGCAAGCGATGGGCTGCTGGAATGCTCACAGTAGCCAGCTGTCTTTTAACTGTCTCCTTTGCAACCCAGCCCAGTGAGTGGCTGGTGGTTCAGTGTAGCCTGTTGCCTTTTATTAATCTGTGGGGTTTTTTTTATCTCTGCCTAGCACATACAACTTCGGAACAGACGGCTTTCCCGCGGCTGCCACCAGTGCCAATCTGTGCCTGGCGACCGGCGTGCGCGGAGGGGTGGACTGGATGCGGAAACTGGCCTTCCGCTACAGACGAGTTAAAGAAATATACAACACCTACAAAAATAATGTTGGAGGCAAGTAATCTGGAGTATCTAACACAGACTAGGGGCTGTAAATGGGAAGGACTTGTTTCTACACCTTTTTTTGACATAGCAGTGTTTGGTGAGCTGTTTAGTTTGCTGTGTGCAGGAAATTGTCTGAGCTAGTGAAAGCAAAGGGAAATGACAGAGCACTACTTAATACCAGTGCAGACATGCCCTTGTCTACTCCACAGGTCTACTTGGTCCAGCAAAAAGAGAGGCTTGGTTACAACTAAGAGCAGAAATTGAAGCTTTGACAGATTCTTGGTTAACACTTGCACTGAAAGCACTCACCCTCATTCATTCAAGGTGAGTATTAAGAGTACGAAGGAAGCCCTAAGGTGTCTGATGATGGTCTGGAAGAGGATGTCTGGTGTGGTGGGCAAAATGCTGAAGCTGGAGGACCTCATCCTCATCCCTTATTCTGATCTGGCCATGCCACACCTTGCTCCTCGGTATGGTGATAAAAAATAGATGATCTTTCAAATGGCAGTAATAATATTGAGGGGTTCTGGTAGGAGGGGTATGATTTTCCTTCCGTGTTTTTGTTTTGGTTTTTTTCTGTTTTGCTTGGTTAAGAAAGGATATTTGCGTTTTCTCTTCCATAGGACAAACTGTGTGAACATTCTCGTAACGACTACTCAGCTAATTCCAGCTCTGGCAAAAGTCTTGTTGTATGGACTAGGAGTTGTATTTCCCATAGAGAATATTTACAGTGCAACTAAAATAGGTGAGCTATTTTCATCATGTTGTGATTCATTTCAAGTTTTATTTCTAAATATATACGGTATTGTAGTCTGTATTTAATTCTAACCTGCTTTCACAGTAGCAAATACAGAGTTTAGTAACACCTGATCTTCATGAAACATTGCTAAAGCATCCTAAAAGTGCTTTTCAAATGTGTGATGATCCAGCACAGAAAGCTTTGTACAGCTCTATTAACAGTGTTACAGGCTCTGATAGGAGGAAATGTAGTTGCTTTTATTTTTCATCATTTCTCAGAACTGTGGGGCTGTGTAGCAGTTGAGAAAGGTTTTTAATAGGCAGTAAATACAGAACACTGGAGTCTCCCTGGAGCAGCAGTAAGAGAAGTTCTGTAAAGGTAAGCCCTGGCTTCATTTGTTTTCATGGGCTCTGGAAAAGATTTTGGTAGACAATTCAAGAGAAGCAAGAATGTTTTGCTGCAGAATGTAGTTATTTAAGTTTCTTCATACTGACTGCAATAATCTTCAGCCAGGCAAATGTTTATTTCTGTTTTCTGGTTCAGTATAAAAGATGTTATTCTGAGTATGCAGAAGTACCCCAGACCAGATGGCAACGGTGTTTGTAGTTTTTAATGTGATTATGACATATCTGTTCTGTCTCAGATTCCCTCATAATTGTGGTCTACACAAACACATTTTTCATGTGTTCTTAAGTATCTGTAATACAGCAAGCTCAAATTGTCAAGAAATAATTTAGGGATTTTTTTTTTTTTTTTTTTTAAACAGGGCAAAACAAAAATTGGTTCAGAGTTTTAAAAAGAAATTTGAAAGCATTCCCATAAAATATTTCAAACTGTTTCTTGAATATTAAAATTACAGTGCCCTCTGTCAAAACTCTATAGTAATTTATAACTTTGAAATATAATACTTTAAATACACATTTTAATTAAAACATATTTTAATAAATCTTTACTTGTGCCTTCATGTACATGTAATAGAGGTGTGTTTATGCAAAAATGTGTTCTGTCACTGTCACAGGAAACCATGAGATTTTTGTAACATGACATGATTCCTAATATTTAAACACTGTTTCAAGTTAGTGTTGGATGTTTCTTATGCCTGGTGCTACTGTTAAATGGTATCAGTAAGTAGTTTGTCTTCTGTAATGGCTAGAAAACTTCATTTAATTTCCAGCCTAGTTTTTCTTACATGTTTATTATTCTTTAGCTTGAAATAATGATTTTAAAAAACACAGTTTTCCCCAACCATTGCTGTAGACACACAGATTAGCATGTCCCATGGCCAGACTGAAGTGACCTTTCAGAATGGTGACATTTGAGAAAACCCAGCTTTAAGCGTTTGCTTTCTTTCTGTCTTCTCAGTACAGTACCTGAAGCTTCCCAGTATGGGTACAAATTGAAAGAGGAAATTTAAGTTAGCTATTAATTCTTTATTCTAAGGGTGGTGAGACACTGAAACAGGTTGCCCAGGGAGGTTGTGGATGCCCCAGCCCTGGCAGTGTTCAAGGCCAGATCGGGTAAGGCCTTGGATAACCTGTTATAGTGGGAGTGTCCCTCCCACTATGGCACATGCCAGGGTGAGTTGGGACTAGATGATCTTTAAGGCCCCTTTCAATCCTTAACATTTCTGTGGTTCTGTGGTACTTGTTCATGGGGCTGGAGCACTGAGATCATTTCCCTGGGTGTGTACAGGACCCATATGAATGGATCCCAGTGCAAGATCAAGGACATGGTCCATGATCTTTTGGGTGACCTTCTAAGTCAGGGTACTACTGTTTTAGGAGCTGTGATTGGTCATGTCACAGGTTTCGGAGAAAAAGCTAGAATTTCAACTCAGCTTCAATCAACTTACTCAAATCAGGCTACTGGTCATAAACAAATGGAAGATAATTCTCCTTATGGTGAAATTCCCCACAAAACCTGTGTCACATTAAGGAATGAGACAAGAAAGGTCATACTGTGGACCTCTAGTATGCTGGCTATGCTGCATTCAGCTTTGATACACCTTTCTGAGGCTCTTCTCGTCTTGTAGCTCTACTTGAGAATTCCAAGGGTCGGGGAGATCCAAGCAAAAAAGTTATTTATTTGATGACATCCCATCACCACCTACCCTGAATAGCCTGATCTTTTTCTTTCAGGAAAGGAAAGTTGTTTTGAGCGAATAATTCAAAGATTTGGAAGAAAAGTAGTATATGTTGTTATAGGGGATGGTGTTGAAGAAGAACAAGGCGCAAAAAAGGTAATCACCTTCTTTTGGTGAGGGTTGGTTTCAAGAGTCTGGAAAATTGTCTTTTCCTCAACATAGGACAGCATGCATTGACATTTAGGTTGGATATATTTGCCCTATAAAATCTGTATTGACCATATCTAGTGGAAATAGATAATTATAGATAATGATTTGCCCTGCTGTTCTCCAAAAGACACATTAAACTATTCAAGTATGTTTGATGTACTTCAAAAAGGGGCCAGAAAATGGGCCCTGGCTTTTTTGCCAAGAACTAATATTTCTGTTTTCCTTGGCAACCCAAAATACCACATAGGATGTTATGAATGTAAGCAAAATATGGTGATTCTTAGTGATCAAAGGCAGTGTCCTGTTTGACTGTATGAAATACATATATATCACACCTTAAAAAGACATGTAGGACTGGAGTAGGTAGGAATTTTCATTTTCTTGTGTGTCCATAATTTGGATTCTTCATTCAGACAACAACCTGTGGCTTGGCATGCATTCATAATCTCAGATAACTGAACAGAGGATACTATTTAACTGTCTATTATTTTTTGCTTTCCACTGAGAAGAAGGAGATTTTTTTTTTTCATTATGAATTAAGCTATATAAAAAAGAAACACTTCCCATTCACAAATAATAAGCATTATCTCTAGCCTTGCTAGAAAAACTACCCAAGGTAGTCTGCAGATACACATTCTTTGCTTGGAGGAATGAGGCATAACCTTGGCTATTTGAATAGAGCAGGAAAATGGGCATTTTTGTTCTTGCTTCCTTTCACAGATAAATTGCTTTTACACAGCTGCTTTTTCACCACAAAACTCTCCATGATACTTCTATCTCTTTTCACTGTGACTTTCTAAATTGGAGAAGTGAAACTAATTAGTCCACATGGCGTTTTAACAACCATTGACTGGTTTTGCTTCATGAAATCTCGGTTTTGTGCCCCTGAAGCCTTGCGGGTAGGTTCCCGGCTCGTCCCAGCACTTTGCCGAGTCTCAGTTTCATATATCCCTTTGGCGGACTGACGGGAACAGTTTGCTCCTTTCTCCTTCAGAAATGCCTTTCATCTTTGCAGAGAAATGTTTTCCCGCTGCAAATGATTACATTTTAAAAGCTGTATTTAAGATCAGGGGGGAAAAAAAAAAATTCCTTCTCTTTGTTCCTTTTCTGTTGCTTGGTGAAATAGTGTCGTATATGATAATGGCAAGAGTAGTCCTTTTGGTAACATTATCTATTCCAATGCTTTTTTCAACAGGAAACATGATTCAGAAAAGCATAAGAGAGAGCCTTTCCAGTTGCTAAGAGAAGTAGCAGTATAGAAAGTTCCTTTGTGCAATTACTTGTGTGTATTCTTTCCTGGTGGAAGGAATTTTCAGGTTGAAAGCATGTTAGATGCTCTGGATTAAATTATCTGCTGCAGTGATGCCAGAGAAGTCAATAAGTAGACCAGCAGCCCTGCCTTTCTGCATAAACTATCAATTTGATTTAGGAAAGTGCTTCTGTGATTCTTGATCTGCTTCTTACTCCACCAAATAAGAAATCACCATTTCACACTGTGAATGCAGGATCTGCCTTTTTAGATTTTTCCTTCACATCCTGCAAGAGCACAAACTTTCTCTGGAGAGCACACAAACAGAACAGAAGCTTTACCTCCACAAAACTACCCAAAGCACATCAATCCAGGGTAGCATAACTGCCCTGTGATGTACCCCGCTGTCATGTTTATCCCCTGAATCTTGGTAGCTGGTTTCTTCTCGCCTTGCTTCCTATCAGCATTTCAGGTTTTGTGGTATTCTCCAGAGAAGAGATAGGTCCCCCTTTGCACAGCACTTTTCTGTAGGGCTTTGGTCTGTGCTGGAGACATTAGTATATATAGCACACCCTTCTTTAGATAGCACTTCATTGTTTACATGTAAACTGTATTGAGTCTTTTCCAGTGAGCTTATAAATTCAAGCCTATTTAATTAGAGAGATTTTTTTTTTATTATTCTGTGTTCATTCAGTGGATAAAAAAAACTTGAACTTCCAGCTTAGGGGGTAAGAAAGTTAAGGTTTATTAATAAAAATAATTTACCAATAGTTTATCAATTCCTTCATCATAAAACAAGATTTTCATGTATGTGCTTTATTCGTGGAAAATCTTAAGTCAATACAGCAGTAGGAAAATGAAAGACACAATTAAAATCTTTTCATTATTGTCATTAGTACAAAAATTCAATAATAGAAACTTCTTAATGCCGCTTAAAAGATCATTGCTTTATTAAGAAATATTTTTAGCATAAACAGTTTGTTCATAAAATGCCTCTTTTGGTTGATGTAAGTAAATATAATACACTGAGGAAAATTCACACTCTTACATTTCTGGTAGCATTAGTCGAACTATGATACTGACACCTTTGTTCATCTGTCACTTCCAGCAAAATATTTGATGAGACAATTAAAACTCTCAGGATGTTTGCACTGTAGATTGAGGAATAATCGTACCCTTCTGGATCAGTGCAGCAACCAGCGAGCTTGGCTGTAAGGCCAGGGCTCACACAAAGGTTGCTACCTTCATATCAGCTTCCCCAGGAAAAGAGGGAGAGGAGGGCAGAGAGAAACCAGTGTGAAAGTCCAAAGGTGCTCTGGAGATGCTGGTACCAGCGCTGGTGCCGTGTGGGACAGAGCCACCGCCTCCAAGTGCCACTGTGGTGACACAGCTGCTCTCAGTATGTTCTGGGGGTTTCTGCCAGAGACTCTATTGTCTCAGCATTTTGGTTTGCTTTGCTTTGTTTTTTGGTTTGGTCTTGGAGGCTGTTTTGTTTTATTTTGTTGTGTTGCATTTTCTTGTGTTCTTTTGTGTTTAGTTTTGTTCTCATCTTTTGCCTTTGCTTTTGGAGACACATTTGGGAAATACAAATAAGGCAGAAAAACCCCAACTCCTGAGTTTTTCTGCTTAAGAGAATTCTCCAAAGGATTTCTAATTTGTGAGAAGAGACAAAGGCTCCTCTGCACTGAGGAGCTGGATTTTACATCATGTGATTCAGGAGAGCCTAGGCAAATGGGCTTCTCCCTTTGTCTCCAAAATGGTCATGCTGCCTTGGAGGAAAAACCATAAATCTTTGTGGAGCAATAAATAGAATATAAATGGGTATCCAATATGCCACTGCTTTTAAGCTCACAGTCACACTGTGCTGGTCAGGTTTGGGTTAGGAAGTAAAGACGGCCGCTTAGCAAATCTGGCAGGAATACAACAAAAATACTGTGAAAGATGACAAAAACTGATGAGTTTTCTATTCAAATCCATCACAAATTTCAGGAGTAAGTTTTTTGTATAAATATGTATTCATTTAAGGGAAGGAGGATAGAGGATATTTTGCACTTTTTGGTGTTCCTATAAAAAATGGATTTGTTTTGCATGTGTATTAATAGCAGAACTATTTTTTAGAGTAAAATAGCTGAAGTTTTGTACATTTAGTAGGTACATGCTGAAAATAAAATTACTTCTATTTCAGAAATTAAATAGCTTAATATCTTAGATTATTTAATAATACTCTAATTATTAGGCTCACTAAATTTGTAGTTTTATTTTTTATGCTTTTTACATCAAAACCAAAATTTTGCCACCATATTTAATTTCAAAATGCCATCAAAATCAAATAATTTAAAAGTTCATTGATGTTTTATTGCTAAGTATCATCTGCCAAACAATGATTTTTAAGAGACAAAAGCTTCATATTTACTTGGAAGATGTTGAAATAGTAGACTTAGAGTTCCATTAGATACTAATGCACCCAGTTTCACCACCTATTTATTAGTGGTTAACATTTGTCATCCGCTCTCCTCAGCAGCAAATGCAAGATTAGAATTTCTTGCTTGGCTCAGAATAGAAGTGTTCTGCATGACATGTGTGTGCTAAGTGTTGGCAGGGGTGGTATTTTAAAGGCAATATTTAGTACATATATATACACAAAGGATCTCTTTCTCTCTCAAATGATCTCAAGTCATTTGGTAAGAGAAAGTGTACTTCCATCTCAGGAGTGTGTCGCCACTTTTGACATGGCTGAATATTTGTGAATCAACAGTGCATGTTAATACAGGAATAATATATAAGGTTCTATATGATAATTTTGTTACTTTAAAGTTTTTGTTGCATACAATCGTTTATTACCTTAGATGGGGTGAAAATTAGTGTATATGTCTCATGAAAACGTGCATGTATATGAGCACATATGTGTGAGGCTCTATATAAACACACAAACATACAGATATATATAGATCTGTATCAGGTTTGTTTCTCCTCCTCACAGCTCTGAAGGCTGTACTGTAGGGTCAGACTGAGAGAAATTTGAATTGGCCACGTTGAGCCATGCCCAGGGCACCACTGCAGATTCCAGCCCCATGCAGCCACCACGTCCCTGGCATGCTTCATTTCTTGGGATTGTGCAGCTGGCCCTTAGATCTGTCATGAAGGAGAACTGAAAATAATTATAATCCTGAGATTTACACAACCTCTTTTTTGTTTTGTTTTGTTTTTTTAATGAGACTCTCTATTGTCATTCCCCACTTCACTGCTGTATCTGCGTAAATATGGGCACAATCTTTTCATAGACACATAAATGAAGCAGAGGACACCTAACTGTACTTGAGATAGAAATATATAGTCAAAATAATGACTGTTTACAATTTTGGTTTAAAATCTGGCCATCAACAGCTGACCCATAAACAGGGTAATCCAAAACTTGATATTGCACATGGGCATCTAGCAAGAGGTGCTGTAATTTGATTTAGCAGAAGCTAAAACTTCTGTTAAATCAATCAGTCTTTAACTCTCCTCTACTTGCCTGGTGTGTGTATGCTCTGTGATGCTGAGGTTGTTACTAGGGAAGCAGTATAAAGCTGGAGCTGCATGAAGTGGGAGCTGGAAGCCAAGAATTTATTCCTATGGTTCTCCCTATTGATTTGTTTGCTGTGTTACCTTGGAGGGCATCCATGTCAGTCCACCAGACTCTGCCACACCACATCATAGATATGCTGTTTACACTTCCCTGACCCACTGGCTAAGGCAGACCTGCTGCCAAGATGACTAAGAGGAGGAGCAGGGAGCTATGGCTGGCTGTCAGGGGGCTGCCAGCTGTGTCCCACATGGCAGGAGTTTGAGAGAGAAGAGGGAAGCTGCAGCCTCACACGAAAAGGAGGCAGCACTGCAGAGCATTGCTGACCTGTGCAGTCATCTGGTAAACACAGCATGGACCTGCTGCAAGCACAAACCTGTGACTCTTCGTCCTTGATGTAGTACCCCTACCAGATATTTCAAATTCTGCCAGAAAGAGATAGATGCACAAAAGCTTTTGCAAAGTCCAGAGAATAGCATGACTGGTAATTTTTATTTCATACTGCTTTTGCTGGTTCATTTCCTGAACATGATGCAAGAAGTTCATCCTTAGGAAATCTGTGAGTTGGAAAGCAGCAGTGTCTGGCCTGACAGCACAGAGGGTAGGCTGCCTGTATAATGTAACAGGGAAGACCCTGGGCTGTGGAGTTGCAACTGAGCGAGCTAACTGCATCTGCTTTCTGTAACTGGTGGAGCATAGAGACAGTACAGTGGACATCCAGACTGAAGATGTAGGGGAAAAAAAAGTGTTGTAGTGTTGAAAATTTCCTTCTTAAGGAAAAGATCCGTCTTTCAAAATGTTTTGGAAATATCATAAGATTTTTGTGAGGTTTTTCTGGTTTTTTTTTTCCAAAAAATACCTCTATTGTCTCTGAATTTTGTTTGTTTTATTATCTCCATTGTCAGCCGTGGCTTATTAATTTATCTTGAACCTGAGGTTCAGTCAGCTGTTTCTCAAGGCTTTCTAATTCTCTAAAGCAAAGCAGAGCAGAAACTGTTACAATGGTGTTTTCTTGGGGGTCATTTTGTTTTTTCCTGAAGAAATTCCTTTGCTTTAGAAGCTTGTTGTACTTGGAATGTGGGCATGTGCTGATGCATCCATATTGCATCTTCATTCAGGTCAGGAGTGTCATATCAAAGAGGATGTGATAGGCTGAGTGTTAAGGTGTTTGCCATCTGAGACAGGTATAAAAATGATGGTAAATGTGCAGCTGGAAACCGTGAATTTAACATTGTTTTCAAAATTTTTCTCTAACTTAAAATTTGAGAAAACCAGAATGAAAAAAAAAGGAGCAGAATGAAAATGACAGAGGAGATGGAGTTTTGCCAGTGATTTCAGTGGAATTAGGAATTTACACAGGAGCTGCTGAAGTAGGATGATGAAAGCCTCTTTGAGAAGTCATAGATAAAATGCTTGGGGAACTTAGAAGCTAATGTGGTTTGCCTCCTAAAGATGCCGGGACACAAACTGGCCCAATGTAAAGGTGAACACAGTCATGTTAGCCTCCAGAACACTGTTGAATTGAAACTATTTTCCCATTGAATTTGTAGAATAATTTCCTGACAAAAGCTGATCTTTATTTTTTTTTTTTAATTTACGCAAAATTTCTTGTTGACATTATAATTCCTAGCTTCAAGTATAAAGGTAGTTCTTAATCAGATTTTTACCCTTCATGAATGAGGTAATCTGTGCTTTTTCCTGGGATTTGTGTTTTTGGTTTATTCAGGTTCTTTGCAAAAGTATTTGTGCTCCAGACAGATTTTATTACAACTAATAGGAAAAAAATATGTATTTATTTTAATGTTCCATATGGAAAAGATGTTTTAAGATCAGTGTTAGCAATGACCAATGTTATACAAGCCACTGGGATAAAAATCTTTTCAAAGTGAGGTGAGCAACACATGAGTTATTCTGAATCACCATTTCTCTGTTCTTAACTCATCTGCCAGGAGCAGATTTTTACAAGGAGCAAACACATTTTGATAATAAACAACACTTTCACTTTCTTTATTTTCTTTCTGTTCCCTTTCTCAAACTACCTACAGGCTTCACGTATATGTTATTTTGCTTATTTTTATCCAGAAGTAATATTTTCTTCTGCAATGTTCCAAAATCTGTTTTTCATATAAAGAGATTAGAAGCCACTCCCTTCCTTATGATCTCCTGATGTTTTTGCTGTAGTTCCTATTGTAAATAGATTTACTGTTATTGAGAATTTATGCTTAGGGGGTGGGTCAGAGAAACCAGACATTAACATGAAGGACTCAGGGTTTTAAGAGCTCTTTTTCTCTCCTGCAAGTGTTCTCTTATCCCTGTGAAAAACAAAGGGTGGGTCTAAATACCAGAATGCTTGGGGTTATTTTTACATGTTGTCTGTGCTGTTCACAGCATGCTATGCCATTTTGGAGGATCTCGAGCCACTCTGACCTTATGGCCCTTCACCATGCCTTGGAACTGGAGTACTTGTAGCAACTTAGCAGCACTTTCAAACCTCAGAGCCTCCTTCTGCCCGTGGATGAGATGCCTGTGTCTTGTGTCAGCATTGGACTACAGAACTTTGTGATTTCAACATGTTGACGTACAGCTGCAATTGGTCTTAACCCTTGCCCTTTCAGTAAACGGAGGAGCATGTCTTTTTCTTCAGAACAGCTGTTGGCTCCGGTACTGCAAGTCCAACGAAAATAAGCCATGCGAGTGTTTGAACAACTCATCTTTACCATATTTGCTACCAAAAAGAAATTGAGAAGGAAAAAATATAATGGGAAAAAAAAAAAAAAAAGGAAATAAGAGGTTCATACCTGTGAAGAAAAGAAAAAGGACCTGCAAATGCTTTGTAGTTTTTAGCCTCTTCAATGTGACACACACCATTTCTTCAACACAGCAAACTTGATTGCACAATGAAGACTGAGATTTTACAAAATACCAGTGGAGTAATTTTCTTATAAAGAAGGTTTACGTTTTGGTTTCTCATACCCAGGGTACTCTGTACATCTTTACTTATTTATGAACAGACTATATTTTGACATCATATAACTGAGGATATGTATAATAGGATTAAAGGCTATTATAAGCCTTTGCCTTATGGTACAGCAACTACTTTTGATTTTAGCACATTACAGAGTAGTTTAAAATATGTCTAATTTAAACTAATAGGTACATCACTGAGACAATCATGTACAGGAAGAATTTTTTGTGTAAATTTGTAATAATGAATGATTCTTTTACATATTGTTAAAGGTAAATGCTATTGAAAGATAGTAATGCCTTGTTGGTGAAGAATGAGGCCACGTGTGCACAAACTTGTGCGGTGCCTTATCAATGTGTTGGATATAAATATGTAGATAATTGATTTTTTTAGATAAATTTGTCAAGACCAAAAGCATGGATGTCAAGTGTCAATAGGAACTGGGTTTTGTTCTCAGCTGTTTCTCTGCCATTTTCTTGTCTCACCCACTCTGATCATGGAAACATTGATTTTGTGTGTCCCCCCCCCCAGGTCAAAGCAAATACAGATAAAACCTAAGTGAAGAGGAGGCCTTTATTGTCTTTTTGTTTCCTCTTTTAAAGTTAACATATTAACCCTTTTTAGAGTATAAAAAAATTAATTAGGAGAGTCATTCCATAAAGAAATAGAGAAAGAACAAAAATATATTTTAAGATGTAACTTAAACCGGAACCTTGGTACTGAATAGCTTTTGTCTCATCCAAAAATGAAGGAAACTATCATCACTAATATTTTTAGAAATTAGAGATGAGAATATTTTGGAGAAATTAAACAAAAATGCTCATAGACATTTAAGTTTTTTAATCCTCTTCCACCAGGAGTCAGATTTTCCTAAGATATAACATCCATTGCCGGCAATGGAAATGCTGAAATGGTTATCACCAAGGAGTTAAAATTTGCTTTTGTCTGTACTAACTTAAAGGACAAACCTAGACTGTGTCTGTCTGTGACTTGTGACTTTTCTGATCTTGAAGGCTGTGAGCTACTTGGTTAAATAAACTGTTAGTCTGACTTTTTGGCTTGAATTGTACCAATTCCTTTTGCCCAGTTAAATATCTAATTAAAAAGAAGCCTCACCATTGTTGGTTAATTTTCTGGTTTTTCTTCTTTCATTTTAATTAAAAAACCCACCAGCCATGAAACAGCTACCTGCAAAGCTACAGAGCACCAATGTAGCTACAAATCAACACCCTTCTCTATTGGAGGAATCACATTGCTGCTAGAATGAAATATTTGTGGATTGCTTTAGTACCAACAGAGAGGTTTTTATCTTACCAAGACTTGCACGTGTGCTTTACTTTACTCAGTATGAGTGCTGCAACTCGTGCAGTACTCACATATGTACATAAAGCACATTGTGGATAGTTTTTAGAATTGAGACTATAATTAGCCTTTTTTTTTCCTCGAGCAAAGTAGACAGTGATGGGGGGGAATTGGTTGTCCTTTTTTTTTTTTTTTTCTTTTTGCTTTGGCTCTTTACAATTTTTAGTCACTTGCGGACTGAAAAAAATAACAAAGTTTATCTGGGCCTTATTGTACAAAAAGTGTGTTGTGTCCACAATTGTGTACAGAATTTTTCTTCATTGATTTTGTTTTAAATTAATAAAATTGATTTGTGAACGTATTATACAATTGTCTTGTATGCAAGTCTGTGATATTTCTGGCCTTTGGATTGGGAATGAGGAGACATCTCTCATCTCTTTGCTATCCCAAGACATAAAGTTGTTCACCTTCTGGTGCCCAGCTGAGGTGTTAAATAGGTTAAAGAATACTTGCATCTAGTTTACAGAAGGCTCAGTTAGATGAGCAGCAGTTGTTTTGTTTATCAGCAGCAGCTAGAGGTGGTCAGTGTAGAATAAGGCCTTGGTGTCCTGGAAATGTGTCTCTAAGTGACTCACAGCAAATGCCTGAACTTCATGGCGTCTCTGTCATCCAAAGCAATCCATGTGCTGAAGGGATGAGTCTGGCAGTCAGACATCTCACTCAGGGCTACAAGTCCCATCCTCTGAGCTTTTACAGGCCTGAATGTCTGGGAATTCAGGACTGGCATTTAACTTTTCCAAGCACAGAGCAGGGCTGTCTTTAAATTTGGAAGAGTGGCAGTGACCACCATTTTATAGCAGACACTTTGTTGTACACACATGGACTGGTGAAGATGCTTCTTTGTTTCTCTACCCATCAGTGAGAGCCTTGACTGCCAGCTGGTTGTTTCTGATGCTCACTTTCTGCTCTGGTGAGACCTAACAAATGGAAGCGAAACCAAGACCAGTCAAGGACCTGCTTCTACATTCTTGACACCACCATAAGAGTTGCATGCTCAGAGTTGAAATACGTGTCCAGCACAGCACCAATGATGCTGGAAATTAGTCTGATGAAGCACTTAATTGCCCCCTGAAATCAGTGTCTTTCTTTCTGAGCAACTAAATACACAGAAAAATAATTATTTTTTAAGGACCATCATATGAAAACCCTTAAATCAAAAACTTGTAAGAAAGCAAGGAGTCCTATAGAGTGAAAGAGATCATGTAGGCAGCTCATAAACTTGAGTCCACTTTTTGAAACATGTCAGTAGTGCTTGAAGTTTCCATTTCTTAGATGCTCACTGATAAAAATGTTCAGCTGTAATGGATTTCCTTCTAAGAATAACACACATGTGACTTTGAGGTAGTGCCAAGAAAGTGAAATTAAAATTAGTGATTATTACTATTATTTATGTCTTTCATTACTGGAATGCATGCTCAGTGAGTGGTACCTTTGTCTCAAAAATGCTTGCAATGCAAGCAAATAAAATACTGTTAGAAATTCTTTTTTGCCTTTTCCTTCAGTTTTCTGCTTCTCTCAGTGTTGAATTCTGCCCTGCAACATGAGTAGGGGATGGATATCAAGAGACACACTTCTTTGTGTCCTATGCAAAGAGAGAGGCACAGGCCTGTCCCAATCTTCCTGTTCTTTGTCAATGGCAAGGCTGCACAGCTGCCACTTTTGTCATTCTCTATTTAACCAGGGACTGGCTCTACCAAAACTGTCTAGCTCTCTTGTGCAGGCAAAGGACTAGAAGAAAATGGAAAATCCAGGGGAAAACAGGTTGGAAAAAAACATATAGAAGAGGTGTGAGGGTTACAAGGCTGCAACTGCAGAGAGGGTCTGCAGGTATCCATGAAGGGTCACTGAGTGGAGCACCCACTACTCCTGGCTGGGCCCCCAGCAGCTGCTCAGGATTATGCCCAGCAATTCGATGGGACAAGGGACCAGTAAGAGGTCCCCCACTCTCTTGGCTACCCTTTCCCACCAACTTCATGATGTGGATGGCAGGTTAGTCACAGCATGGAAGACAACTGCACATAATTCAATGTGGGCCTCAGGAGAGCCTGGTGAATCAAGGGGGGCTGGTTGCCATCCCTCCTCTGGCTCCCCCTGAAACTCTTGTCCTGTCCCCATTACCTCTGTACAGCTGGCATGCACCACATGTTACAGAAAAGACACAGCAAAGATGGAAATCTCTGGAGTACAGAGTCTGAATTCCCTCCACAGCCTATTAACTGTGTGAACTTCTCTATACTATATAAGTGCATATATACACACACAAATACATACATACACATACATATATATACATACATATAGATATATAGCTAGATACACAAATATATGTGGCATATTTGTTGCCAAGCTTTGTTATGACAGCAAAATTAAAAAGGTGTACCATTGAACCTGTTGCCTAAGTGACTTTATGCAAATGGTTTGTAATAGAAAATGCCCCTTACTCTCGTTCTTCAGCACAGCTATGAAAGATAAATAGAGTACTTACATTTGACTACTCAAATCATCCATCTTTGTAACTGTTAGCAGTTCAGTTTGTGTGAGTATAAATAAACTTTCATCTTCTGATACACCAGAGAAATTTTTTTGGTTGTTTTTTACTAATATTCTATATTGCAATTTCTGATTTTTAAGTGGCTGCTTGTTCCTGCTAATGGTAATAACAGCAGAAGAAAAACAAAATATTTGGATTTATCTAAAGCTAAATGGAGATATGCCAGCTCTCATGGAAGCCACATGATGTTGCCAGCTAACGTGGAAGTCTGACATAGGTACAAGTATGCTATTAGCAATCTACCCTTCCCATCACTTCACCAGCACTGGCAGTCTTTTGGCTGGGAAGAGGTATTTGTGGCTTGGATTTTGTTTCTCACCCTCACTTAGAAATGTTTTGCATGGCCTGATCTTTACTGCTTCTTGAAAGGCTGGCCTTTGACACTCTGCTCTTTCCAGTCTTATGCACAGGTTCATTGTTCTCTAAAGTGGGAGTTGAATCATTTGCGAAGGAAGCCCCAACCTGCTTCATTTTATTCATTGCCAAGTCATGGCAAATTTGACATGGAAGTGAAGTGAGCTCTAGATATCACATTAAGTTTAATAACTGAGATTGTGGTGATAGACTATATAGTGCAGAGAAGGCGAAAGGTAGTTAGAAATAAAAAGACGAAACATAAATTGATTTTGAAAATGTAGTATAGTATATCTGGGGGAAAATAATGCAAAGCAAGCAGTGGGGAAGAATGCTGAGCTGTCCAGAATGGAGAAAATTATGTTTAGAAAGGAAAATTAATTTCCTGGCTCTGCCATAGAATAACCCAGGAGCTGTTAGGACTCAGGCTCAGCAAAGCTAAGTGTTCACCCTCTGTTCACCCTCTCTGCAGACATTTTATGATTAGTTACCACTTGCACAGGTGACTTTAAACCAAGTCTGTTTTCAACCCTACCCAGAGCTATGTGGGAGGCTGCCTGCTATTAATGCTCTTGGAGAGCCGGAGGAGTTCTGTGGGAGCGGAAGAAAAGAGAGGTGCAAATGTGCAGGCTCTCAGTGAAGCACACAAGGACAATGCTCAGAGAGAAAAAACACTTTGCCTCCCTGTAGCTGCTTAATGCAAAGTACAGAAAGTCTTGGGAACTGGTACATAAATCAGGGCTCCTGCCTCTGGGGCATGTGCTCACACCACCAAATCCAGTGATGCCCTTAGCTTTCCTCAGAAAAATCCACTGGGTGGACTGAATACCTGCTGTCCTTCCTCTTGTGGTTTCAGCCCAGCAGGTCATTAAGCACCATGCAGCTACTCACTCCCTTCACATTTGGATGAGGGAGAGGATTGGAAGAGTGAAAGTGAAGAAACTCATTGGTTCAGATGAAGACAGTTTAATAGGTAAAGCCAAAGCTGTGCACACAAGCAAAGCAGAACATGGACTTAATTCACAATTTCACGAACAGGCAGGTATTCAGCCATCCCCAGGAAAGCAGGGCTCCCATCACACATAATGGTGACCTGAGAAAACACCATCACTCCAAATATTCCCCCCACTTCCTTCTTCATTCCCCACCTTTATATGTTGAGCATGATGCCATATGGTATGAAAGATCCCTTTGGTCAGTTGGGATCAGCTGTCCCAGTGGTGCCCCTCCCAAATCCTTGCATATCCCCAGCTGCTCACTGGTGGAGTGAGGCACAGAAAGGACCTTGACTCTGTGCAAGCACTGCTCAGCAGTAACTAAAACATCCCTGAATTGCCAACACTGTTCTCAGCCTAAATCCAAAACACAGTCTCGTACAAGCTACTGTGAAGAAAATTAACTCTATCCCAGCCAAAACCAGCAAAACAACTCTCCAGAGTAAACAAGTGCAGTTCTCAGTACCAAGACAAGCAACTGAATAGAAACAAAACCATTACATTCCCCTTTACCTCAAGAAATGCTATAATTCCAGAAGGGATTATTAACTTTGCATTAAATTCACGTTCCAGCTCCTAAATCTATCTGTGCAGTCATTATTTATATGTGACTCACTTAAAATTCAGTAGAGCATCTGTGTCATAGATATCGGAGGTCTACTTACATGCCATTTGGTATTTGTCACTAATCTGGGGTCACAGGAGGTCAGGCCAGTAATATTTCCACTACACAGCAGGTAAATCCTCTCAGACCATTCCTGATACCTTCTTATAAAATGAGAGTTTGAAATTCAATTTAAACCATACAGGTTTATACCTAGTAAGAGCCTTCCTGGAGCCCTTTTATTTTAAGGCAGAAAGTTTTTAAAGGGGAGTGAGAACAAAAAACAACCCTGAACTATATTCTTAGTTATCTAGAAGACAAGGAAAGCGCAGCAAAATAAAGTTGGGAAGGTTGCAATATCCCTTTTAAACAACAGTCACAGGGGGGAAAAAGTCAGTTCTTGTGAGTATTAGCATTCTTTTTGATATTTCTATAGTCCAGCTCAAATCAAATATTCTGTAAGCTTTTTGTCCAGAATTTCTCAAATACTTGCTCTTGTGCCACCTGATTTCTCTTTCCATTGCTCCAGTAACTGTGTGAACCAGCAGATCTGAAGATTCTGCTGATTGTCTTTGGGCATTTCCCTGCAGAAGAACCAAACCAGGCGATGGGTGTGCTAAGAAGGTAACAGAGCCAATGTTTGTACCTCTTGGGAGTGAAGGTGCTCTTGCTACTTTTGGCTATTCTTGTTTAACACAAGCCACAGGTGTGTGTCAAATGACAGTTGAGAAATTCAGTTTCTGAACAATTTTTTTGTGATTTTCTTTCTTACAGATAAGCCAAATTAGAATTCCTTGAAGTC